TCTTCTTTGGATGCAGCTTCCCATTGCCTCCCTCAGCGGCTCCCTTAGGAAAGGTGTTTCTTTCCCTGCCATTGTTTGGGAAGCGCCCCGTCCCGTTGCGAGTGCTGTAAGCCGTATACCAAGAACGTGAGAAGACATTGGTAGGAAACGGGGAAAACCCTGGCCACGAAACGCTCCGACCCCCACCCTATTGAATGGGAAAAGGAAACTGTTCAAGGAGGCAAAAGCCAAAACCATGACAGGTTCCCCAGAGATGCAGATTATTGTTATTGTAGGAACAGATGTATTTTTATTGGTGGGAGGAGGAGATGGGTCTAAAACCAGCCTCAGAGTTTGCTTTAAAAACAAAATGCGGGGAAAAAAAAACCCAAGAAAACCACGAAATCCCCTCTACCACTCACCTGACTTTTATTGGCGGCCACTTTGGCAAACAGAGCTTGAGATACCTTGGCCCTTTTCATCTCCTGTTGGATCTCGTCATAAATGGCAGCTGTGATGTTGACGTTGGCGCCGTCCGCCTTAATGGGGAGGTCTGTTGTTGGTGTCGAGGTTTTGGCCTACCGAGAGACCATGGAAATAATAATTAAAAAAGTGCTGCTTTCAGCCCAGCCATCTGTGCAGAAATTATCAGAGGATTTCAGTCAGCTGATGCCAAACTGCATTAGCTACGGAGGGACACTTCCTGTCCATTATTCTAATCAGGTTAATTGTGATTGGAAATAATTGCAGTGCATTCCTATAGGACGCGCGAGGCGCTGCCAGCTCCCCTGCTCCCGCACGGCTCCGGCTCCCGCTCGGCTCCGGGAGCGCTCCGGGCCCGCACGGCTCCCGGGGCCACGCGGCTGCCCCGGCCCTTTTCCCCCTGCGCTGCCTCCGCGGGAGAGCCAATTCTCCCAGAAAAAATGCGTAAATGGGTAGAGGTCTCTAAATAATAAATTATTACTCAATTTAATGCACTCCCTCAAGCCTTCCTCATCCTTTATTAAAACTATACGTATGTCATTTGAGTATGTATGGGTTCCCAGCCTCATCATCATTATGCTGGCCAGACAGTCACCTAATTTCACCTAGGAAATCAGTGGAAATGAGAAAAAAAAAAAAAAAGCAGCAGAAAATCATTTCATAAAGCGGGGCTTTGGCATGCCTTTGACGCGCTGCCCTCATCCTCCTAAACTCATATTGCGATTTTGTGCATTCCGCGGCACTCCTTTTAATTGAATGATTTCCCTCCGCCGCCGTGACAAATGAAGGACAAGGACGGGCGCCAGCGCGCGCTCGTGCCGCGCTGCCGCGCCGCGCGCCGCCCCGGTACGACCCTCGCGCCCGGCCCCTGCTTTTGCAGCACGGCTTAAGGTGGCTAGAGCATATCTAAGGTTAATTTTTGACCGGGTAGACGTGCCCGAACGCTCCTGATAGAGGGCAGGTTGACTAAGTCCAACCGAGTCCCCCGAGCATCCCCTTTCCTGCGCCCGTCCTCCCGACCCGTCCCGTCTCGTGCCGAGACGGGACGGGTCGGGAGGACGGGCGCAGGAAAGGTACAGAGCCCACATCCACGGCGGAGACGGGCAGAGCAGGGAGCCAAGCAAAGCCTCAGCGGCGCCAAGCACAGTATTTAACCCTGGCTGCCTTGACTCAGCTCTCAGTAGTAACGAGAAGTTTGCCATTATTGAAATGCCTTATTGCAGATTGTATTAGGAAAAAAAGCAAAAAGGTGGAGTCTGCGAGAGTAGCTGGAGAGCTCTGAAATCCCACAGGTTGCTGCTGTTGGGTTGCTCCCCACAGAGCGGSGGAACAGGTAAACAACCTTTAAAAGCTCCGAATGTTCCCTGCACAGCTCTGGGATCCTTTTGCTGGCTTCATCTGCCACTCTCACCCCCGGGTGTCCGAGTGCCCTTAGGAGCTGCCCCAGCAGGGGCTCTCGGGGCGGGCAGGCCGCGCGGAGCCGCAGCGCAGCCGCGTGCGCCGCTGTCTCCTTTCACCCAGCGCGTCCAAAACCATTCCCCAGGCGCCGCCTCAGCGATGGGTATCTATGGAAACCRGGCTGCCAAACGGCGGTAATCCAGCGCACGCAGCCCCGCGGTCCCCGGGAATGGGCCCATGGGTGCCAGGACAGCGCGGGAAGGGGCCCGCGGGCACCAGGACTGCACCAGGCACCGCGYGGGGCTTTGGCTCCCGCACATCCCCCGTGCAGAGCAGGGGCTGCTCTTTGGGGCACGGCTCTCCAGCAGTGCTTAGCTCTTCAAAGAGAAGGCAAATTTTCTGTTTTTCAAAAGCTGCAGGCTAGGATATGGGGAAAGTGTCTTATCTGCAGGGAGGAAAGACATGGGGACTCTGCTCTTACTGCACTGCATCCAACTCCTCCATCTCCTTCAGCTGATTCTTCTTGTGAAATCTATCATGCTAAAAATCAGTAAGAACAGGATAATCTATGAAGTAATATAAATGCAGCARATACACTTATTAGTGTATTTAGTGTATCAGTGTAATACACTTTATTAGTGTAAAGAGTTTTCCTTATATTATCTGTATTTCCAAGGAAAGGTGACTACAAAGGACAAGAGCTGCACGACAAGGAGCCTCGGGTGCTGTGATAACTCAGTGTCAGTTTGGGGCTGGCAAGCCAGGCTCGGAAACTGCCTTCAATGAACTCCATTCTTTACATCGTGTGCAGTCAAGAGGCGTACAAAAATGCCAGCGTTAAACTAGGCAAGCTCGAGCGGTTCCACAAAACCAACAAGCCTTCCTTAAGAATAATCACTTTGCATTTAAAGCTATCCCCCGCCCAAGATGCTTGCTTATTTTTAGCAGCGGTGCAGATTTCCAAAGGAAAGTGCTCGGTAATACTATTATAGGCAGAGCGAGCACACGCAGAGCCCGAGCAGCGGGAGCACGAGGGCACCAAAGCGGGAGCGCTCCCACGGGCACCGGCGAGCGCAGCTCGGCACYGAGCACAGCGCACGGAACGAGCCCTGGGTCGGGAAGTGGGAAACTCGGAGCCGGAGGGAGGGAAATGGGAGCACCCTGCCGCGCACAGCTGGGCTGCATCCAGCGCGGGGATGTTCTCSCTCCGTGCAAAGGAGCAGCCTCCCCGGGGACGGGGGCGGCAGCAGCACGGTAACAAGCACGTGCACTGAGTCCACGAGAGGACAGCTGGGCTGCGGCTGCAAACCACCGCCTCCCATCTGCATCCCCGGCCCGTCTCCGCTTTCGGTACGTCCAACAAGTAGCCTTTAAATCAAGGACTGGGATTTCTCGGGCACAAAAAGAGCACCCTGATTTCAAATTCACTCTGGACTCCTGTTCACCACATGCTCTTCACTGCAACATGTGTGAAAACCTCCATGTACCCAGAAATTCTCTCGGTGTGTTACAGAACGTAGCGGACATAAACCACTTAAGACAACAAGTTAAGCAAACGCYCCTTCCATGATACATTTGCTAACAGGCACATCTCAGCAGCGCGTGTGTGCAGCCCACGTGCATTCTTCCATGTACTGTCACCAACAGGCTCTTTTGCATTTCTGGTACTGATCACAGCTAGAGTCATCCTGAGGTTTCACTGAATTCCCCCAAGCCCCTCTCAAAACCACTCCAAAAGCCTGGAGAACTTCCATGCCACATGGGGCAGGGAGGTGCTGAGAGGAGCCCCATCCCTAGTGTCTAATCCACAGGGAAAGAGGGCTGCCCCTTACCTGGGGGGTTCTGGAGGAGCTCGGGCTGCTGGCCGCCGAGGACACCATGCTCACATTGGGGTTCATGCTTCTCTCCCTCTCGTCCTGGTAGATCCGATCCCGCTCCGAGTCAGGCAGGTTGAGGAAATTCTGCATTGCCCTCAGGTTGACCAGGAGAGACTGCGACGCTGTCCGAGGGTCTTCTTCCTTACGCAGGATCTCTGACAGCAAGCCCTGGTTCAAAGAGCAAAAAACAATAATAATAAAAAATATCAAGTCATGTGTTGTTGTTGCTTTTCTTTCTTCTCATTTGTTTGGTGTAACCAGCTGGGTTGCAATACTGAGAACTAAGAACCTCCCAGCCTCTCCCAGAGGGGCTATTTTGTAGGAAAGTCTTCTTGGGGCTGGGGGTTATTTGGGGACCGTCCTGTTGTGGCCCCGTAGGAACCACCTGAGCATGGTGACACTGGATGGGAAGGCTGGGGCACCGGGGAGAAGGAACCGCAGCTACCACCAGGTGCTCGCTGCAAATGCTGCAGGAGCTGTCGAGCTCTCGCTCTCGCTCTCTCTTTCTCTGCTTGGAGCTGCTGGGAACACTTGGCAGTCCTGCTCGTCTTCGAGAAATCTGCCAGGGTTGGTAAATTTAGTTTCGACATTTAAGCAGTGCAGGAGGTTTATCAWGAAAAATGTTTCACTACATTTTGATGTTATAGCCCGTTCATTGCGGTTTGGACAGGCGTTTCTGAGAGAGCTGCAGCAAACCGTAAAGCCATCGGATCTACTTTTGGGGACATAACCTGTTCRTGTCTCATCAAAAACACCCCGGGTCTTGCACGGTGACAGGGAATGAACCCRACCCTGCCCTGGTTTCTGGAAAACCCTCATGCCAGGAGTAACCTGTTCAAAGGGGCCGAGAGGGAGCACCCCGGYCCCCAGGGTATTCGCACCCTCCGGGCGGGCACGGCAGCTTCCCAAGGAGAATCCAAGCACACAGTGAAGCCCCTTCAGCATTCTGTCTTTGCTTCCTTCCCTCCGTGCCCRAGAGCCTCCCAAGGAGCCCTGCCAAAGCGCCACGCCAGCCGACTACTGACCCAAGGCCAGCGCTTTTAGTGCCTCTGGGTGGTATTTACCAAAGATCGTCCCAAAGAGCACGGCAGCGTTTGCTTTTGTAGCTGCTCCCAAACACATACATGGAGACACCCACGGGAGGGCTCTCCCCGGGCGACACGGGGGTGCCGGGCCTCCGAACAAGCCACGGCCTCTGCTGGGTGTCTGCCCCAGAGATGCCCCACGTGCCCATTTCTGACTCTTTTAAGGGATGCAAGAGCCCTGGTTTWCACACAGCAGCGTGCAGAGGGGCGGGCGACAGGGCAGCGCAGCCAAATGCAGCATCTCGAGAGCAGTAACATTTACTGTGACGCCGTTCGGGGCTACCGGGGAGCACGCCAGCGAACCAGCCAGCAGCAGCACAAAAAACACAGCGAGATTAAATAATCCGCTCAGCCTTTTTGTCACCTGCAACAAATTAGGCTTTCAATATGCAAAACATCCTCCTTCCCCAAAAACAAATGATCGTGATTTCATTTAATTGTAATTTAATGAGGCATAATTTATTTTTTAAAGCGATACACACCAGGTGTGTGGGGAGGAAGCTGGCCCGGCCAGACAAACCCCACGGTTTCTATTTTTGAGAAAAGCCTCAAGCCAGCCAAGGACTGGTTTCAGTTCTGCAAATTAGGTTTCTGCAGGAGGGGCTGAGGGAAGCAAACCCACACCAGTTGTACATTCACTGTAAAACTCCACTGGCCAAGTTGGCTCATTCCAACTTCCATACRTCCCCTGTATTAAAGAAAAACACTGGCTGGCTGAGTAACTAACTCTGCAAACCTAAGAGAAGATCCTCAGGGACTAGGAAGTCTCAAACTGGTTTTAAGTGACCAAACAGATCGTGTGCGCTGCATGCACCTCAGGACAAGCAGCTTTATGATAATGGTCTTGCTTCTTTCTCCCCTCTCGCTTGTCGTTCTAAAGCCAGTTGCTGAGGATGAAGATGAAGAGCTGAGTGAGAGGCAGGCCCCGCTGAGCAGGGAGGTGCAGGGAAGCCCCAGCCCAAGGCTGGGTTTACGCTGAAACCAGCTCCAGGTCTTCAGGCACCGGTTGCGTCCACAAGGGACTGAAAGGAAACAACCGGGGTGCAGACAGGAGCACGTGCTCCGTCAAAATAAAGACGTCTCTGGAGGCTATTTGAAACAGCAGGGATTTTGACGGTGCTTTTTTCAAGCAAGCTGTAATCTAGTCCTCCGAAAACAAGCCAGCACTCGTGGCCACGGCCCTGAGGGGCAGCTCTGCGAGCCGTGCCCGGGCACTCGGCCAGCGGGACTGACAGCCCTGCAGGGCACGGAGCCTGCGGGGCGGCTTCCGCAGGACGCTGCGAGGCAGAGCCAGCGCCGCCCGGTTATACACATAGGGCAAACATTACAGGGACTTCTGTCATATTTTCAGTTTATTTGTGCCTCTCTATACTCCAGCTGTTGCCAAAACCAAGAGAGAAAAATGCCGAAATACTAGAAAAATGTTGCTCCTACGTGGTACTTCTATATGCCCAAATGGAAGCTCTCCTCACTCCCAGTCTCAAGACACAAGCTGTTCTGCTCCSCACCAGGCATCGAGGTGACACAGCACAAGCCCAGCCTATGTGGGTGCTTATTCAAGCTCTSCATCTCTCACACTGGTGACCCTATGTGCAGAACACAACGCGATTTTGCCGGGCCAAAAATAATCGTTTTTATTGATTACATGGTTTTTAGAGGAGGCAGGCCCACGGAGGCCTAACTCCAGCCCTTCAAGGCGACAGAGCAATCTGCTCCGTTCTCCTCTCCCGCGAGGCGCTCACCGGGACACCCGTACCTCGCCGGGCTCTGACTCCGGGGTGCAGCACCCTCCGTATCGCCGGGGAGCCTCTCTGGGAAGCACCCACGAGGTTCCTGCAAGATTCCCTGGACTCAGGCTCAAACATTCGCTGCTCTCCTCTCCTTGCGCCTCTTCCAAATTCTAGCCAGGATACAAAGCAGGAGTGCTGGGAATCCCCCAGGAACGCCTAGCCCGGCAATGCACCCGCTCCAACCTGACCCAGCAAAATCAGTTTCGATAACCCATTAATGGAAGCAGATTAATAGAAACGTTATCCAGAAACTGGATAATGGAAACCTGTGTGCTTGGCCACACTGAGCCCCTCAGCATCCATYCTGCCACAGCTTCCCGAGCGCAGGACTGTGCCTGCTCCCGGCGCCCCGGACCTCCTCGGATGCCGTCGGTTCGGATGAACTCCAGCACTCTGAGCACCTGAACCGGTTTCACATCAGTGTGAACAGGAGACCAGCTGCTTCCCTGTCCCCTTCATGAAGAGCAGCTGAACATACCCGTCTCTCGCTCAAAGGAAAAGCTCCCGATCCCCAGATTCGCTGCCTACAGCTGGAGTACGAGCCTTGTGCTTAAACTCATTTAACTAAYGCTAAAATACATACATCTCAGGAGAGAGCTGCTTAGGCACGAAGCATTTAGAGGCTGATTTGAATAAAACTTATATAGGGTGCAACAATGGCAATTGGATTTTTATTATTAAAAACGAAGTGYTTAAATCCTCCAAGAAAATGCCTTCATTGCATTAGTTTAATAAAGCCTCTTTTTTATTATGGTGTCTCTCCTCATTAGGGAAGGCAGCCCGTGCACGCGGCGCTCAGCACGGATGCACAGGGGGAAAAGGAGGCAGAGGAGGTCCGGCCACCGAGTGCCACCATCCAGGTGCCACGTGCGGCGACCTGCGCCAGGGGAAGGGGCAGGATGCAGCGCCGGCAGCACCCATAGCACCCACAGCACGTGGCGGCCCCKCATTGTGCAAGCCTGACTCACGCGCTGCTTCAGAGCCTTTCCTTCAGCCTATTGAATACAATTAAGTTAATTGAAACTGAAATTTCGGGCAGTGCAGAAGCCCGCTGTTGGAACAAATATCCCATGTAGCAAAAATCTGCGATTTATTAAATTAAGTGCTTCCCTTGCAGGCTGCCTCCTTTCCTGCGAGTACAACAGAGCGCTGCTTGTGCCACATTGCGCACAAGGATAAAACACGCGGGCGGCACGAAAGGGCTTCATGCAAGAGGAGAGAGTTTTCTATGGGGAAAAGAAAGAAACAACAGGAATTCCCCCCCAAAGCAGAACCAGAGCCCTGGCTAATTGCAAGCCTGTGCACAATGGTGCAGCCACGAGAGCGATGAGCGCGCATGAATGTCGCGCGGGGCGCCAGGCGGAGGATTAAAGGCGCCCGGCTTCCTCTCGCCTGCGGCCAGCGGGCTGGCCCAAGGGATTCCGCGCAGCCTCGTGCAGAGGTGCGGGAGTCACCTGGACAAAAGGCACTTCTGGTCTGAAAAGGCCTCTTTGTGGATCCGCTTCCGCTGCCACTTCAGCCTGGGGGGATTTTGCCGGAGGCGGCGGACGCACCCGCCGCCCTGCGCCCCTGGGACCTCCCTGAGCCCACCCTCCATGTCGTGGAGAGCTGGGGAAGCGGCAGCCCCCCTGCCTGCACGTGGGACCGGCCYGGAGCCGTTCCAGAAGCCCCATCCAGCAAGGACGCCGGGCACCTCAACCCGCTGCGGTCACACGTCCCACGGGACCCGCAGAATGCCCCCAGCAGGGCAGAGCAGCCCGTTTTATTCCCTTAACTAACTGCACTCCAGGCTGGGGAGCAGGATTTCACCCCCCTGGGCTGCCACCTCCTGCCTCTCCAAAATCCAGGGCCAGGAGCCGAGCCGGGCGAGCACTGCCCTGACACCCACAGGATGCCCTGCTCCCCGGGAACGAGCAACGGGAACACTCTGTGTCCGCAACCGAAGGGCTCCCATCGGGAGCTTCCTCTCCATCTCCATCTCCATCTCATGCTCCCGAGCACGGCGGCTGCCACGCGGCGGGACAGCCCTCTGGCAACACTCACCACCTTGGTGCTAAATTTTGGTGACAAATTTCAACAGCAGCTCGCTGCGGTCCCCCAAAGAGRACCCGCTGGCATCCGCAAGGGAAASAAGGCCAGGGTGCCTTGCTGACGGGCACTGCCGGGACACGGGCTATGGTAAACACAACGGGGTCATCAGCCACATGAAGTAATGTGAGGGTTAATAGGAATTTCCTGCTTGTTGGAAATGCTGTCATTAGACACACCTGCAATAACTGGGTCTAAAAATTCCTTTCTACAGCTCCATGGGTCTAAAAACCCCCTTCTAGCTGTCCTGTTTGCCAAGTAATGAGCATTTGGACTCTTTAGTGATGAGAACCAAAACCATGATACGGATTCTCTACAGATGAGAGAGAGGCACAGAAGTTAGCGGGGAGCATTTACCAAAAACCAGCCTCCAACGCACTACAGGGGCTTCCGAATCCCAGATTGAGACAAACCTTGAGCTGCTCGTTCTGGGAGTCTGTGTCCACCAGCTGCCCCGTGCAGTGCTCCTGTCTGGCAGCAGCCAGGTGGTCACTGTTCAAGAGGGGACATGGAGACGCCCCGAGCCCCTCAGTTTTCATGCACCCACAAACCATCGGGCACACGGGCGTGAGCAAACCCCGCTGCCTCAGGCTATGCACTTGCAGCTCTTGGCGCAAGGATCCAGATGCTTCCCACCTCATCCCACCTCACCTCTCCTTCTCCTGACCCCGCTCCCTTCCCACCCACGCGTACATGTGTCGGCCACTTGTTCCRATGGATTTAGCCTCGTTTGGATCAAAGCTTCCTCTACTTCATTTAACAGACTTGCTCAGACGGAAGGTCTCAGGGGAGAAATAATGTTCGTAAGAAGTGGGGTTTCGGCATTGAGTATGTAGGTCATTGGACTTTAAAATAAATCAGAGAATAGTTTATCTATTAAACAAGCCTCGCAGTACATATTTCATGAAGCTATACTTAATTACAGGCTAACGTGCACCGCAGAGCTGCCATGCAGGAAGATTAAGCAGTGGCCCATAATGCAGTGATTAATGCAGTTATTAGCCGGCTGGCACGCAGCGTCTTTTGGTTGGCACTGCCAAGAGAAACAAGAGCCCTCCAGTTTTTGAGGTTGGTGCTCGCTGMGAATGCAACAAACACAAACATTTCCAGACAGAAATGCCGGTGTCTCCACACTTCCCGCGGAAACACAAGGAGGTGAGCGCAGGGTTCCAGCTCCGCTGCGGGGGCTTCTGCAGTCGCTTCTCCACCGGGGGCTTTTGGGGACACSCCATGTGCTCAGCTGTGCACTGCGAGGCTGACTGTATCCGAGCTCCTATTACCTGGGACAACAGCCTCTGACCCAAAGGGAGACTATGTGAAATTAATTAATTTTGGAATTAAAAACCGAGGAGAGCGAGGCATAAATATGTACCTACGTTTTTTTTGCTACAGCAACGGCTCCTAGGGAAATGATGCACTATACATAAAATCCATATTAAGGCCCTGCAGTCTAATGGAATGCAGCTCTGAGATGACATTAATGTTTTATGGATGTTAAAGACTTGCCTGTTCCAGTGTCACTGTTACAGACTGTACAGTACATTGACATCACTTACGAGGGAAAGCTAAGAGTAGCTTATTTCTCTTCTTTTGTGTAAAATTACATTTGCCTGTTATCATGAGGAAATCAAAAATAATGAAGAGGGGTTTTTTTTTCAAATAGAAAAGCTAGAAAAGTTAGTACCACCAAAGCTGCACTTGGCAGAAGGAAGGCCCGACAAAGCAGGTGATACCACTACCCCGAACTGGAGACTTCCCTCCGAGCACTCAACTCTTGTGCTGCTTGCCTGAGGATGGATCATCACAGCCCATTTCCAGGTGCAGTCCTGCCCAGGAATGGTGCCTGACACCTTTGTGAAGGATGCTGCCCTGGCACGTCCACCGCATACAGCTCAGCTCCGCGCGCGCGAACGGCGTGCTCGGAACAGCGCAGAACCATCCCAGAGGGATTGTGCTGCTCTCCGCGGGGCTACAGAACACACCAGYTTGCCACCGGCTTGGCCAGTGCTGTTTTGGACGTTTCTGCATCCCCCCAAGCTGTGCACCTCCTGAGAAACTCAAGTGTTCAGCGGGAAGCACCGAGCTTTCCCTTCAGCCGCCGCTGCCTCCCTCGCTCCGCAGGGCGTCTGCAGGCAGGACGCACCTCGGATCAAAAGCCTGGGCATTTCTCCAGGGCAGCACAAGCACGAGGGCAGCGCGGACGGATGGCTGCGGGGCCGTGGGCTCGCCAGGGACGGTGACACCTCAGGCAGCTCGACAGCCACGTGTCGCTTCCCAGGACAGCGGGCTGCAACTCAGCGTGCGCCCCGCGGAGCTTCTCAACCAGCCTGCGCAGAGCCCGCTGCCTCCCAAGCTGACAGGTCTCCTCCCGGGAGCTCTCCCTACTCACTGCTCTCAAAAGGGGGTAATGTTTGAGATCGCTGCACTAACAACAGATCTCCTCTCCTGTCGGGTTAGGTACACCATAAYGGGCCCACACAGGGCACTGTAGCCATTAGCTTCCATGCTACTGTGCCAAGGTGTTTCGTTAACAGGTAGATTTTCAGGTGTTTAAGCATTCAGTATCAGCAAGGTTYAGAGACAGTTTTCCAGATCTTGAGTAAAATCACGGCTGTATTTGTCCACTTTTCCTACAGAACTGGAATGCTGAGATGATGATGGAGGTGGGATGGCTGGCGGGAATAACGGATGCTCATGCAAGGACCCCAGTTTCAGTGCACATTACTCTTGAAAGAACCTGGAATTTCAGTGGTATGCTAGTCCTAAGGGGGGCTGCAAATGCTGTCAGGTGGGACTGGCCCACAAACACCCTGCTAGGAGCACAYTTCACCCAGAGCCCTGCTCAGTGTCCTAGAGCCACTGAGGCGATGCCAGAACAGCCCAGGAAAGCAAAGCCAAACACTGCAGCTGATTCACTCCAGATTTCGGATTATCTACCAAGCATGTGAGCAACCTCTGTCGCGGGTGCTGCTCAACGCCACGGGCAGAGCCACCGCGAGAGAAAGGTCCAGGCGGCCTCTCCGTCTCCCGCCTGCGCTCTCGCTGCCATCCTGCACCGGCGACAGGCCTATCAAGCCCTCGCCTCCTTCTAAATGCCAGATTCCAACAAAATTGCAAGGCAGCTTTTGCATTTGGGGATGAGCTTTCGGTTTATTAGCAGGCCTGGGTGCTATGGAGCCTGCTCCGCAATCTGGCTCAAGCTCCGCGACAGTGGCAAGCGCGCGGCGGCGGCACCGCTGACCTCCTGCTCGAGTTCACCGTATGTCATCCTGTCAATACCATCTACCTTGATTATACCAGGCTTTATATACAACAGGTTATGTTCCCAGAGGGATGAAAAGCTTTTCCAAATTAAAAGCAGCATTTTAAAGAGGAAATACTCATACATTCCTATGTAGTTTTCATTTGATATCCTCAAGGCTAACCCCAGAACTTGAAGTCATGTTGATTGAAAATGAATGTTTTTTCTGAGTGCGGCCATCTTATGAATTTAATGGAAGAAGGGAAGCAATAAAAATGTGCTCCATACTTTAATTAGTTCCCTCATAACATGGCATTTCCAAAATGGCAGTGCCAAAGAAAATCATTAATCCAGGAGAGTCGGCAAAAGCACCGGCTGGAGCAAGGGACAGATCTCCAGGAGACACGTACAACGGGGCCCTTGGCTTTCTCTGSCTGGTAAAGCTTACCTCCAAGAGCAACTCTGACGGCGCAGATGAAACTGGTACCAATGTTTAAACACGAGACCTATTTCCATTCCTTTAGCCTTATCAGAGAGCACCACGGCTTGGCAGGTGTGTTTTGTGTGCGTGGAAGGGCAGCAGGACGAGCGCGAAYGGCCTGCCCCTCTCCCCGTGCGCTCGCCCAGGCACCCAGCTGAGACCACCCTTTGACTACCTCACCACCTGAGCCCGCTTATTTGAGAGCACCTGGGGGATGTAGGAAAGCCAACACCAACTGCTGCAAACGGCAGACACCTTTGCAGCAGCCAGCTGGCTCCAAGAGCCTTTCAGCCTATGGGCACTTTTCYTACAGGCTTCTTGGGGCAGGGGGCTCTGGCACCAGCCTTGGCACCAACACGGACAGCATAGAAGAAGCTGAGGAAGTGGCAGAAGCCCAAAGACCCCAAAGACTCGCACAGTGTCTTGTTAGGTGTTCCCGGGCACGAGGCAGGAGCAGATGTGGAAGCCTCTAGCCAGGAAGGGGACTGAGGGAAGGGCTCACACAAGCAGAACTACCTCGGGAGAACACGGCTTGGGGAGCAGCACTGGAATGACCAAATGCAGGCCAGCTGCTGTCCCAGGAAGAAGCTCCATTGTTCAATCCCAACAGAGAGACTGGGAGAAAGAAAGGCAGGGTGATCTATTTCCACRGCCCATCTCCAGCCTTGATGGGCAACAACTATAAATTCCGTAAGAGTCACAACTTTGCCCCCCTCACCTCTGCTCGGCTATAGAACAGAAATCAGTACCTGTGTACGGTTGAACGCTACTCTTGCAAAGACAGCTTGAGACACGCTGGCTCTCTTCAGCTCATCTCGGACTTGCTGGTAAATGTCTGGAGAGACTTCCACGGAGGAATTCGAAGGCTCCGGCTTGACGGCTCGAGGGATGGGCGGGTGGTTCAAGAACTGCTGGTTGATGGCTTGGGGGTGCTGGTGAGCCAGCAGCCGGCTGACGGCGATCTGCTGGTTTATCAGGTGGGCCATGGCTATCTGCTGCCTCACCAGCTGCGGGCTCAGCTGAGGAGACAGGAGCCCCGGGTTTATCATGGTCTGCATCGCTGGCACCTGGTTGCGGATCGGAGTGCTGTGGTGAATTTGGCCATGAGGAGACTGTTCGTTAGTTTTTCCCAAGGTTGCCAGCTGGTTGATATTTGGTAAGTGCATGGGACGTTGGCCGAGAACACAGTAGTCTGAAAGGTTTTCTCTTTCCACTCTTTCCACTGTTAAAAAGAGAAAAATCAGTTTGCTGTCATTTCAGTGCGCAGAGGACTGTTAGGTAAGGATTGCTGCAGGTGACCGTACACAACAGCACACCCACTTCACTCCGCAAGTGTGCACTTGCATAAGAGCTCCACAAAAACACGGACAACTGAAGCAGCACCCAGGAACAACAACAGAAAGCACCAGCCGCTTGCACAGGTTTCGCCCACCGCGTAGGAAGCCTCCTCAGCACGCAGGTAGCAGGTTCCCTCTCCAGCCTCATTCCCTAAAGAAACAAGCTCAGACTCTTCTGCTCATATGGACAACAACTTTTGAAGCTTTCAAAAGGAGGCGAATGGGGAAGAAGCCCAAAGTAGGGCTTTGGGTGAGGGTTAGGAACCCAACTTAACACCCATTCAAGCAAATCCAATGAAACTAGTCCCGTCCTTGCGCAGCTCGTGGATCAGCTTCTCACTACAGCCTAGGCACCTCTATCTTTTCCCACTTAACCTACCTGCACCCTGTGTGGACACAGTTACCTGCTAACACCCGTTTGCCTGAACGGTCCACAGCAGCAGCGAGCCCCTGGCGTGCAGCGTGGTACAAACCACGTTCATCCCAACCCAGAGATGAAAGTATTTTAGATCCATAGTCATTCTTTTTCTTTGCTGGAGGCTTTGCAAGAGGCACGGCKTAAGGTGGGCCTTAGGACACAGGACTCTTGCCTTCACCTCACCTTCCCACTGGTGTCCACGGCCTCGCCACGGAGCCTGCCACAGCAGCTTCAGGGAACGCAGCTTGTGACAAGACCCTATTCCCTGATTTACGGTGCTGTTCTCACGGCTTCACACGCTTCCAAAAACCTTTCTTTAGCGCACCAAGGACCTGTGACTCTTAAGCGACAGCTTGCTGCAAAAAAAATGAGGTACTGCAACCCAAATCTATGCCCTGCAATTGCATATGCAGACACAGGTTGTCCCTTCTGAGTATCTGATCTCAGCAATACCTCAGCAGCTTCCCCTGCAAGTGCCAAAGTGCACTCACTACAAACCACCTTCCCCCGAAAAGCGGTGTCTGAATCAGGCAATGGAGTTTAAGAGGTGCAGAAACAAGAGCTGTGCTCAGACCTAAGCGCAGGCAGCGCCGGCAGCCGGGGGCTTTGCTGTGAGTGTGCCCCGGCGCCAGGCTCCGCAGCGAGGCCGCCGCGGCCTCATCCTGCCCCGGGCCTCAGCACACAACGGGATTTCCTTTGCGGATGCCAGAACCCTGCCAGACCCCGTGTAATCAGTAACAACTGCACACGCTTTGAACCCTTTTCTAACGCTTAATCTGCATAAACCTCGGCAGATTACGCAGCTAATCCTCGCAACGAGGGCTTGCCGAGGAGCTTCCCGCCGCCCTCCCAACGGAGCAGAGGCCTCTCGCACCTTCCTGGGCTGATCCCGGGCGAGGGCYGAGCGGTGGCCGCCCCGCACACCGTCCCCATGCGCGCACTCGCCTCGGCACTGCTCCCGAGCTCTTCTGCGCATTTGTTAGGTGGAAAGTCTCACTATTTCCTCTGCCTGTTCTTTGGAAAAAAAATAATCCACACAACCTCTAACCTTCTATAAAATAATTGCCCCCAAAAAGCTGGGTCTTTGGCCAGTGGCGCGGGCAAGGGGACGGTGGCTGGAGGGGAAGCTCCCACCTGAGCGGGGCTGTAACCCCACACCCTGCAAATACAGGGACCTGCAGCCCCTGGCTGCACCCCCGCAAAGGCAGAGACCTCACACCAGGAGCTTGAGGAGAGCTGAACTCATCTCTGAAGCATTCTGGAGCTTCAGGGATTTGCAGCGAATGTAAGTCACTGAAACCAGCAAATTACTACTTGTTAGAACACAAAAACAGTAACCAAGTGTTTTTGAAAGCTTGGTGAGAAATAAATACAAATAAAATTAACTTCCTGGGCTGAGCTGCATTAGCCAAGTTTCCACCCACTCCCCACTTCAGTGCCAAATTATAAACCCCCATAAAATTGAAGCTGGAGATGAAAAGGCTGCCAGGCTGCTAAGCTCTGCGGTGCTGCTTGGAAGGCCACTAGCACGGAGGCCTCACCTGACTGCCTCCCCTTATTATCAGCTTCCTTTTTCCGCCATACGCGACCACGCAGCCACGCATATACTCCCAATAACCCAACCAGATCCTAGTCACTCCAACCACTTCAATAATCAAAGGTTACCATTAGCAGTTACGCTGGACGGAAACTATGTGCATTACTCAGCGGCTCGGGCTCTCCCTCGGCAGCGGCAGTGCCCGTGTGGGGCTCGCTGCCGCTCTGGCCGGGATCTCTCGGATAAACCCCCTTCCCCACGGACATCCTCCTCCTCCTCCTGCCGTGCTCCACCAGCGGGACGCTCTGGCCACCTCTGCAGATGCTGGTCGGTGCCCGCGCGTGTCGGCTGCAGCAGCCGTGCAGGCGGCGCAGCAGGGAGGGCAGGGAGGCCGGGGCTGCACGGGCTCCGTTGGAGCCCTGCACACAAACCCGCCTCTGCTCGCGATGCCTGTGCCCTACGGCCACGAGCCCTGCGGTCACGCAGCCCGCGGGGGGACAGTCCCTCCTGCCCCGCTGCTCTGCCCCATGGCTCTCCAGCCTTCTCCCCAGCAGCTCCTGCAGCCAGAGGCCGGGGGCAGCTCGGGACACGGCTAGCGTCTCCGAGCCCCACGAGCYGGGGTGCCCCTGCCCTCCCGGCCTGCGGCCCCTCCAACGCGGCCCTACCTCCAGCAGACAGTCCGAGCGCGGCACAACCCCCGGGACGGGAGCAGCCAACTGCCATGTTTCAATGCTCCTTTCTCTCCTAATGATTACCACGTGTGTCAATGCCTTTCAGCTTCACGCTGCGCTAGAAACTTCCTGCGTGCAGCACAAAAGCCATCCAAAGCACTCTTCCCCTGTGTGATGCTCTAACCTCTACCCAACTCTTCCTCGTGCACTCAAAGAGCTGACGCAGGCCACAGCACAATAGCTTGGGGTGGTCTGCCTGCAACTTTCCATCTGAAAGAAAACCAGCTCAAGAGATTTAAAATAAGATTTATTTCTCCACCTTCCCTTCCCCTCACCCTTTATTTTCACGGAGCTGCTAATAGGAACATTCTGACAAACAGCCTGTGGGGTATTTGGGGCTTAGGAGCAGCGCGGAGCTGACTGGCAGCCCGGCAGGGCAGCTTCCCGGGAGCGGCGGAGGCTGCTGGGGAGCCAGGGCTGAGGCCGGGGGCAGGACGTCACCCTYGCCGGGGTGACACGGCGCCCCGCTGTGCCGTCCCCCGGCGCCCACGGCCTCCTTGCCCCGAACGGAGGCTTGCAAAGGGACATTCTGTCGCAAGCTGCTCGCCGGCACAATTGCCACGTTTCAGTTGTGCCGGGATGTCCCCACGCCGGCGCTGGGCTCGGGTGCAGAGCCCGATTTATTGCTCCAAACCAGGCGGTCACAAAAGCCATCGCTGAAGGTGGCGGTGGCCCTGCAGGGCCGGCTGCCGGGGCCCGCGCTGCCCTCGTGCTGGCTCGTGGCTCGTGGCCACCCGCGCCCCGCGCTGCCCTCGTGGTGCCCTCCAAGCGCTAGGGCTGTACCCTGCATCTGCAGTCGGCATCATTACTTATTCCTTTGGATCACTGCCCACTCGGCCACTGCAGTGCAAAGGGCTGGCCTGAGGACTCTCATTTTATTCAACGTTTAATCTTCCTATTTACCCAAAGTCCTTCATTGGCTCCATTTGCTGTCTGATCTCTGGGGGGGGCAGTTATTCATATACAGTGAGSCCTGGAGAAAACACAGGTTGACTTGAGGAGCAGACTTGATAATAAGTTGTAATTTTTAAGACCTCTCTTTTTCCTCTACTTCCGCAGCAGGGCTAACAACCCCAAAATAGCTACAGAYCATGCACAGAAACTGCTTGGCTGCGGGTAGCTAAGGCCTTTTCCAAGCCTAATGGAAAGCAGGCAGCAAAGGCCATTGTCTGCTTTTGGGTGCGCTGCGAACTCCAGTTCCCACCGCTGCACAAGTCCCTATTTTGGGGTTGGGAAGAACCATCGCTAAGTGGGTCTTGGATCAGCATCGGCGCTGGGCAAGGCAGTGGAATGAACTCCGATTCTTGTCCGCCTCTCTCGGGCTCTTCCTGAAGGCTGAATCCCTGGGGCACATGTTCTCAGGGCAAGCATTACTGAGACCGTGTTACAGGAACACGGGAAGATGTTCCCATCCATGCTGCGCATGGAGCCATGGTCTCACCTGGTGCAACAACACCTCCCTCCCTGCCCAACTGCTGCGGCCGACGCCTGTCCTGCTACCTCAGTACTAACCTTCGGTGGGACCTCAAGAGGAAGGCGCAAACCTACCCCAACACCCTGGTCATCTGTGCAGTCCCTCCCGGAGATAAGCACGAGCCTCACTCCTAACAGTGGGGATGAGGAAAGGAATGAGGCAGAAGACAGACGTCACCAAGGAAGACATATTAACCCTCCAGATACTTGGAGGGAGCAGAACTCTGTTGTGTTCTCAGGGACGCAAAGAATTCTGTGCTCCAAAATCCACACAATCACAGCCACATTAACAGCTTTCCGGCCAGGAAAGCTTATACCCAGGTGCAAGTTTTCCTTTTGAGCTCACACACAAAATACTTATTCATTTCAAAGAAAAATGACTTTGCAACTTTGGAGATGAAAAAAATACATATTATATATATTTTATATATAAAATGAAGATTGTTCTTTACTCACTAAGAATTCAGGAGGGGATGAACAGACCTCCCAGTCTTGGCGAAAACTGGTCCTCACTGGGAGAAGCATCTCGCTATGCTCGGAACAGGAGACATTTTAAGCCCTAAAGTTGTCACGCATTACTCAGCGTCTCTTAATCAAAAGAGAATAAAATCAAGCAGTCATCAAAGCCTTTTGCATGGCAGGGACAACACACAGGAGACCCCCATTTTTGGTACAGAAGGGYCTTCCACCTTCACGAGCCCAGCACAGGGTCCCCAAAGCCGCCGCGGCTGCAGCTCCAGCCACATGCACACGCAGGACATGGGATTTAGCTCATCAGATACACCTGTCTGCTACAATAAATGCACCACAGGAGCGACAGCCAAAAGACTGGACACTCTACAGACCTGAAATTCATGCACACATTTACTTTAGGTAAGAATTAAGATTTTTTTTTTTTTGAAGTGAGATTCTGCTTTTTGTGATCAACGCAAATCCGCAAAGCACCATCCTCAAAACAGCCAAGCAGTCGGTGGCCTGAAAGGATGTCCCCAAGGAGAGATGGTCTTCAGGCCCTGCCCGTCTTCCAAATCCTGAAAATACTGCCTGCAAATAATATTGTTTTCTATTTATCTGTTTTCTATTTGTTTATTCAAAAAAAAAAGTGAAGAAGGTCCTATTTTAGTGCAATGAATAGGCRGTCAGGAGTATAAAGGTAAGCAAGGGAAAAACTGCAGCAGTGTCAAGAGCCACAGAGCTGACCTAAGCGATCCCCCTGTGCCAGAGCCACAGCTAACACTCGAACGAGACAAGAGATGAGCTCTTCTCAAACAACCTAACGTCCCTGCTTCAACAAGTTCATCAAGGACACTCAYGGTCAAGATGTACGTATACACCTACATACATACATACATCTAAATACATAAATGCCCAGTCTACAAAATATAAATCTATAAATACATACAATCACGTACGTGTGTATGAATAAACAGGTATTTTTAAAGTCCCAAATGTTGCTTGGGAAGGAGCTCGTGTGCCTTTCCACTGGCTCCTACAAGGCCTGCRAGGAACAATTCAGAGCAATTGGGAACTGTTCATCAGAGCACACAGCAAAGATGCTCCCGGGCCCGCACGGGCACCACCGCCCCGCTGCAACGGCAGGTTCTCAAGCCTGGGAAGAACAAAGCTGGGACCCCTTCCGAATCCTGCCCCTAGCCTCCCGCAACCTGTAACGACCCCGGAAACACACTGCAAGAAAGCCAGCTTGCTCCCTCTGTGCGCTGTGGCAAGGAAGCAAGCATGCTTGTAAGAATTAAACAGCACACAACAACAAATTAGCAATATTGGAAAAACCAAAGAGCAGCCAAAGCAGATTCTCATCTTAAGGAAGCTAGAAAAGCTCGTTCCTTCTGAAGCCGGGTCCTGATCTATTGAAACAGAACTAGCGGAGCCCTCCTCCTTTAGCCCGCGGAGACTCATCATTCCACAGGCACTCGGGGACAGCCACAGCCTCAAAACTCACATCCACCCAGAGCTCTAGCTTGACAGTCCCTGATGGCAGGAGCAAGCATGAAGTGCCCTTATTTCCCAGACAAATAAAATATGTCTTTTTATTTTTAAGGTCACCATGTATGTATTCCTCCCTCCCTAAGCTCCTCCACAAGCAAAGCTGTGGCAGCAGGCAAGAAGGGAGGATTCACACCCGGGAAGAGCTTCGGCTGCGACAGCTCTGATACCGCGATAGTCCTTCTGATAAAAATAGAAAGCGTGTCACTTGGGAAGTGAAACAGCTACTGAGAAAAAGAGAGAGCTGAAACCAAACCAAACGCCACGAACCCGACGTGCTGGGCAGCGGGTCAGTCCCCGGCACAGGTTCGACCCGCGCAGTGATGGAGCTGCCCGCAGACGTTCCGGGATGCTCTCCCCACAGCTACCCGGGCACAGGTTACCCACCAGGTCCCGTGGTTATTTGCACACCTATTTGTGAGCCGAGGCCTCGGGCCCCGTCGCAGCCACGGCAGGCGCTTTGGGGCCGGGGCGCTGCGCAAACACGAGGCACCTCGGGGAGTGCTCCCCTCCACAGCCTCTCTCTGCAAGGAGGCCCCCGCTCCCACACCGATTCCCTCCCCACAGACGGAGCCAGTTATCCAGACCCTGGCTCGCAGCGGTGCTCACCACCTCCTGCCCGCTCCGTCCAGCCGAGCGGCTGAGCGACACGTCACCCAAAGGCCCTGAATCCCCCAAAGGAGAAGCAGCTTAAAACAGCTTCCCATAGGAATAGTGAACTCCTTCCTGCTGCCTGTGTTGAGCCAAACTGCCCYGCAGGCTAGGCAGAGCTTCGCGCCCGCCCAGCGACCTCACCTTCTAACTCCTGCCAATGGCACCTTCCCTCCAGAGCCAGGGGTGCAAGCTCTGCTCCAAGCAYGTATCCGTGCACAGGAGAGCCCGGCTCCCGTCCCGCAGATGCGCGGGGCGCTCGGGGCTCCGCGCGCCCCCGAGCACCCCGGCACGGGCTCAGAGCCCTAAGGGCCRGGGAGACAAACCCGAGCAGAGCTTCACCCCAGCCTGGCCTTCACACGAGGCGGAATTACCCTGCTGAGCTCAACTAACAGAAAGCTTTTTTGCAATTGCAAACACAAATACTTGAGCTGTCTTTTCGGCGGGTTCTAGAGAACGCACACTGAGAATGTTTACTTGAGATTTCGTACAACCCCTTTTGCATGGAGCTTTTACATCTGTTGCTAATGATATCAAATTATTGATTGTTCACTTTCTTATTTTTACTTAAACATTAAGTATGTGCTCTGCAACCTGATGCTTTCCTTTTTTTTTTTTCCAGAGAACTTTTATTTTTGCATGGCTTCAGTTGTAATTACTTTGATCTTCCAGAGTGTATAATTATTTTACTGTTTATTTATTTCGATGAGAAAGGAAAAAAGTTTGACCTAGAAGATCTATCTGTGGCAATTTGTAACAGAATCACATAGCTTATGTTTAGGAAATCATGGTTTTGATTAAGAAGCAACCATTTAGTTCCCACTGTTTTATTAAAACAGACATTAGCAGATAATAGGAAACACATTTAACACTGTAGGCTGCATTTAGTTTGCAACGTCAATAAAGCTATTTTGAAGCCCCTTCCTATTTTGCATTTACCACAGCTCATGATGTGAATCCTTTTTTTTGCTTTTACTTTCTAATAACCAGCTCTAGACTTAAACATGGGTGCTGGTCCCAGAGGCTCTAAATCACAGTTCTACCCTGTCCATCCGGACTACGGATACCCCTCTCTGGAAAACACTCTTTAAGGGGATGAGTGACAACTGAAGAACTGGACCCAGTTCACTGCTTTTGCACGTTGTCCTCTGGCAGTACTTGGCTACAGACAGAAGCAGAACAGCACGAAAGAGGAGGTGCTGYGAAATCCAACCCGCCCAAGGAGGAGCAGGAGGCTCCCTGGCGCTGGGGTCCCCGTGCCCTGGCTGTTTATTCCCCAGGCACCCGTGTACCTGCCATAGCTTCTTTGTTTTCTCTCCCACTCGTATGGCTGATGAATCAACACTACTTGAACTGCTTTCTAGCAGCTTGTGTTTACTTCACACATACCTTAACCTTCCTTTTTCTGCTCCTACTACCACACACGCACGCTTCCAAACCGCAGCGCCCGGCTGGCTCTCTCTGAATAGCGCGTACGCAGAGGTATCCGGCAAACTCTCCGGGTTTGGGTCCTTGACCTCCCGATTGAGGTCTCATTCTGCTCTGACGGCACGCCACAATTTAGCTGTGCACTTACCAAGTGAAAAAAAAAGTACGAGCTCAAAGAATCCCGAGCTCTCGGGAGGGAAGACGGCGGTGGGCGGTGCGGGCGGCAAAGCTCGAGCAGCTCCAGGGCTGAGCACCCTCCAGTGAAGGGCTCCCTGGGCCTCGGCACTGGCATCGCAGCCCTGCCCCGCTGCGAGAACAACGGCAACAAAGAACCCTGCAACTGCCTCCTTTCTCCTGGAACAGCAAGTGGAACGATGACCTTGAAGCTGCGCGATGCCTTTGGTTGCTTTTTAGCCAAGAGGAGACGTTAGCGCACGTCCAATAAAATCCCTTTATTGGGAGCCACCATTCAGAGCAAAGAAAGACTTCTGCGGCACACAATGGTGGTGTGTGAGAGGGAGAAGCCCTCCAGGTCGCTTGGCACCCAGGCACTGTGCACTAGCACGTCCAAACAACATCTCATCGAGCCGAAATAATTCAAATGGGTGAAAAGCAGCAGCTCGGCACCCTCGCATCCCCTCTCACCCCACTTCTGCCTCAGCCGCCTTCCTCCCAGCCCCCAGCAACGCTACCGTGCGACATCCTCCTCTCCATACCCCCGGGGCGGGCGCTATTCCAGAGAGCACGGCCCTGTGTAACTTTGGAAGAAGCTCTTTAGCTTTCATGAATACAACACAACTAAGTTGTTAGTTTAGAATGAGAAATTACATAGCAATTTCACTTTTAAGGCCTGAGCTGCTGTACTGTCCAAAATGTTTTAGCTTAAATCAAAATACAGTTCATTTTCAGCATAGCTAACTGGGGTATTACAAGCAGGCTTTAAGGGGGCCTGTGTTTCCACATGAGCCTTGGTTGTAAAGCATCAAATCTAATTTCTTATGTGCTGCGACTGTGCCCTCTTTGCAGACACGTTCACTAATATCATTAAAGCTTATTAGCACTTTTACTTAGAGCAAATAATCTCAAACTGTCAGCAGAAGTTCGAGAACTTGAAAAGAAACAACAAAAAAAGCGATTTACCTTTAATCTTCTTGTACTTCTTGTACCATCTCCCAAACTCCTGGCACTTGGTTGCTGACACATTGGCATAGTATGTGCTATTTACAATGGATGAAATCATACTCTGGAATCACAGAAAGAAATACAAAAGCGTTTTAAAATAACTCGCACAATTAGAAATCTTCCAGGGAAAGTGAGCAGAATGCAAGCACACAGCCATCATCCATTTGGGACCTGAGAGCCACAAGCAGTGCCCGATGAGGACACAAAAGGGACCCAATCCTCTGTTCTACGCTTGTGCTGGCAGCGAACCTGGCCTTTGTTGTGCAGCAAGGGGCAGTGTGGTGCTGGGGACCTCAAATCAGCACGGGCTGATTTGGGGAGCGCATCCCAAAGGTAAGATTTGATCCTTCCAGGTGGGCAAAGCAAATAAGGCTTTTTGGGCGTCTCTGCTCTGCTCCCAAGCACAGCCAGGCCGCACAACAGCGGGCACGAGACCACCCGTGCTACCTACTGCAGAACAAGTCAGGCGAACGAGGGGAATTGGTGTGATGTACAGAGAGGTGTGATTAGCCCTGGTGTGAGAAATCCCCCAGAAGAGACATTAACGGAGCTCTGGAGCGAGCAGGGAAGCACTGGCCACCCCGCAGCGCGGGCCCACGGCTGCCGCCCCGCTCCGCTCCCCACGGAACATGGGAACAGGCTGGGAAGCAGGCTGCTTACTGGTAGCTCTTCCTCTCTCCTTTTCCTCTCCTTCACTAAAKAGCCTCTTCTGCCTTCTCCCTTGGACTTTCCTACTTGCACGCCGCCCTGCTGCGCTGCAGTGCGCTCTCGAAGCTATGAAGCAAGGGCCTTTCGAAGGGGCCACTTCCATTTCTAAAACTAACTCAATTTTCTAATTAAAATCAATAGTTTGAGACATAAACCCAGCATCGTGGCAGTCAGCAACAATCCCTTCCCCATAAATCCTCCCCGTCCTGCTCGACCCAGCAGTGGCAGCCAGAGCACGGCGGCAACGGCCTCTGCCGAGGGAAGACCGAGCGAGCTGCTCTTTTCTAGCATCATTTTAGCTGAATTTCCTCCACTTAGCGKGCACGGAAAAAACATTTCGCTCTGGCGACCCAACAATTTTGTTTTTCCATCACTTTTCCCCAATTTCTGTAGCTCTACAGCAAACCGGTATTAGTGAAATTGGGGGCCTATTAAATATCACAGACTAAACTAACGCATTGACTTTATTGGACAAAGCGAAGTTTAAACTAAAGAGTAAGCTGGAACAGTAAATCCATCAGTGGTGAAAAATCCTAGGACCCATCCTCTTCAGCTGCTCAACAAGAGTGGGGTACAATCTGCAMGAACTTTCAAACTACAAAGAAAAATCCTCCTCCCTGGTAACCAGGATGGAATCCCGGGATATTTCTGTTGGAGATTTCTCCAAGAGACAGCCCCTCAGAAGAAGTGAGTAGCACTGAGCAGTTCGGTAAGCTCAAAAGCAGTGAGTAGCTGTAAATTTGTAAATAATGTATGTTTTTCCAAGGAATAAACRTACGGAAGGGACAGACCCTGCTATGTCTGCTCTATGTGTGTCCGTGAGGGCCCATGGATGCAAGGTGCTGAGGTCGGCACCGCAGGACACCCACACAAGGGAAACCCGGTGCCGTGAGCTCAGGGACAGACCCACGGGGCACGGTCTCAGCCCACGAACGGCTGCTCCAGCCAGGAGACAAACCATGCGGGCAACGTAGCGGGGACTCGCACAACACACAGAGGTCTCTGGGATGGAAATGTCTCCRTAATTGGATTTCCTTCCACCACGCACACTGCCCCTACCCACCAGCCACCCCCAGCTTGGGTAACTGGGATTTATTTGCTCGAGCAGCAGCCTCATGCTAAGGGCAGCTAAGCTGCAGCCGCATAATACACCTAGCAGAAGAAAACAGAACAATTTTAAATCCAAGTGAATGATTGCATTTCCCATTAGGGGCAATCAGGATGCCCATCTGGGCTGCAGGGAGAGCTGCTGCGCCGAGGCAGGCGCTGGCGGCGGCGGGAGCTCCCCGCGCTGCCCTCTCCACGTCCCTACTTGATGCACTGCAAACACATTAATAAACAGCAGCATTTACTCTGCAGTTCAACTCCTAAGAGACCACTCTGTAATTTGCTGCTGTCAATAATATATTAACCACAAGGGGGTTGTAATGACATTTCACATTTGGCACGATATTTTTTTCAAAACTGATTTGGGAGAAGGAATTGTATTAGAGGCATATTCAGCTGGTGGTAATAGACAGCTCCTGTACAACCTTCCCCTGTATCCTTTGCTTTTTGTGAGACAAAACAAAAGCAACCCAAACTTTTTACAATACTAAGAACAGAAGCTACACGCTTACAGCTCAGGAGTTAGTCACTACTCACCAAACATCACTTGGGCTTAAAAGGGAGAAGCAGGGGCGGTTTGCTCCAGCAGGATGTGCCTTTGGCTTTGCTCACTAAGAACTCCTGGAGCAGGAATCCTTGCTCCCACAGAGCTGCCCGCAGTATCTTGCTAACACGTTTCAGGCCGAGGTTGGGAAGGAGCAAAGCAAGTGGTGCCCGTGTTTGCCCCGAGCATCTCTGGAGGCGCGGGGGGACGGGGAAGCTCTAGACACCACATGAAGGTCTGCATGTGAAATGACCCAGAGCTCAGTGACACCGGGTGCTCGGCAGGGATGGSCACGCGCTGCCGTCATCGTTGCACCTGGGCTCACCAGAGCCCACAGCTAGTTCYGTTTACAGAAATTGCACTTAAACTGTGTGAAAAAAAAACCTTTCTTCTTTAACACACCTATGATCTGTGTATACCTAAAGTCACCAGTATTCCATCAGTACATATGGCAAGGAAATAAGGCTCTTCCTCATATGCCCATTCTTACCAGTTCTGCAGACCCAACATGATTAACAAGTCTGCTGGAAAGTGATTCCTACCAATACCAAAGACCTAATTTCTGCTCTGCATCACAGCTCTGCAGCCCCGTGCCTTCCCTTGGGATGTAATTGTAAAAAAGCATGGCAAATTTGTCCTGGTTACACCTGAAAAACACGTTTCTGGTTCTAGGAATCTTTGGCTCGTGCACTGCAATGCAAGCAAGAGCAGTGCAAATTTTCACCATGGGCCAGCAACTGCAAAGGATTTTTAGCAAATAGGAATTACTGAGAYTGGGGCTTTTTTAAGGCTGAAGAAACAGATTGACCTAAACTAAGATTCTACTAGAGTTTTGAAAGGCACCATGTTTCCTGCTGCTGGCAAAGCAGGACCTACTGGGTCTACGTGCTGAGGTGTTTGGGTCTCGAGAGAGGCAGAGGCGCCCCAGACATAAAAACATCATGAATCTCTTGTTACAAAAATCTGACATACAAATAGAGCTCAGGATATTAGTAGGAACCTGCTCAGGTCTTAGATAGGACATCACTGCCACTTATAAAGCAGTCAGGAAGAATGAGACTGTGAGGTTTTGTTCTTTTTTTAAACATAATTACATATACATTTTTGTCACTTTTCCCTTGAAATTGGGGCACCACTGTTGCAAATGCATACATTTTAGCATAGTCAGAAAGTGGTAAGAGCTGCCCCTGGGTTAGTGGGGGAGGAAGTCGCTGAAATTTTGCATTTTCAGATCTTCAAGGCCACTGCAAAAGGGGTAGATAAAGGTCAAGATGAAGAATTTACCTCCCCCTGACCAGCAGGACGAAGATCATCAACATTTTCAACTGGTGACGCACAAACAAAACACAAAGATACCCTTTTTCTTTGTAATTAGCATTTCTCCTTTGTAAAGGAAACACGAGAAGAGTCCAATATTTCTGGAATTGTTTAGACAAAGCAATTGACTGAACAAATATGGACTCTGGATCTCGTAAACGTGGCCTTCCCTAAGCCTGGTGCAACCACTGACCTGGGAGAGAGGGCATTCTTTGGCTAGTGTGCTCTGATTCATCTCTTTGAGCAGTTCCTTTAAGGCATTGCGAACTGTGGCGTGGTTCCACTGCTCTGCTGGCAAGTCCTCCAACTTCGAACAACTGTTAAAACACAAAGCAGAAAGTAGATGGCAACGGTAGCTCTACAAAGGTAGACAAGCAGAACCCGTCGCTGCGCAGGTACGCGCTCCTGGCGCACGAGAGCCCCAGACCTTTGAGCAGCCAAGGCCACCAGAGCGCCCAGGCTCAGCCGGCACGTCCCTCCTCACGGCTCCTGGGAGCCAGGCAGTTCAAGCAGGAGGAGGACAGCACGYGCCAGGAGCGGCAGCTAAGCCGACTAGTGATGTTCCCCGTGTGCAGAGCCCCCTTCCCTGGGGCCTGGCGGGGAGCTACGGAGCCCTGAGCAAAGCAGGACGCAGAAAGGACCACGCAAAGACATTCCCTCCAGAGACAGACCATCGCGCTGGTATYGGAGAATAAATACTAGCAGTAGGGCTGAAAAAATTAATTTGGTTTCATAGGGCTTCTTAKGCTGCCCTCATCTCTAAGGCATGGCAGAGCCTTTCAGAGTGCGTTAAGCCATATGCCCAACATCTGTCCCAYGCAGCTCGTTCTCACTTTCCTTCTACAAGAACTGCATAGGCAGTGAAGCCTTCGTCTTCACGTGGCGTGTGCTTCTCTCAATTTAAATTAAGACCCAAGCCCATGGYCTGGGTCAGCAAAGCTGGGACAGACCCCAGGAGCAGCCCAGCAGGGTGGGAAAGCTGCTCCTTGTGGCTCAAGCCGCGGACATTCAACGTGTCCCCGCAGCCTCACGGCTAGGTCTGCTGTCTGCCTGCACTGGCTCTCCCCTCCACGCTGAAAGTTCAGCTGTGCTTGAGGAGTCCGAGTAGTCAATGATCATCTCTATCTCCAAGTCTCAGGCTCTATTTATTTACACTGCATCCAGCACTTTGAAGATAAAGAACGAGCCCTTGATCTTGGGCTGATACCTTCTGGTAACACAGAAGTGGCAGCAGGCTACGCGGTAACTCACGTGCCTGAGGACACGAGGAACCGCACGCTAGATTTGCGCCAGCTCTAGCGGCTCATATACAGCAGCTTCCTCCAACATAAAGATGATAACAGCACATAAAAGCAAGGGCAAGGCTGTCAGCAGCAACTGGAAACCTCAAACGCTACCAGAGATAACAGCAAAGAAATGCTGCTGGCTGGCACGTTAGCATCAGCGAGGCACCGGCTACGTCCAAAGTGACCTGGCAGCAGCTGGGTAASCACCTGCCACGCAGGGACACCGACACTCCTCCAAACAGACCTCGGCCTCGTTCACACTCAGCATCGGGCAGCTACAGGCAAATTATTACCAATGGTTTTCTGCCTTTCCTCCTTGCCATGCCCTGGGCACAGAATGACAGCAGACGGTGTGAGAGGTGCATTGCCAGGAGCTGCCCACAGCTACGCACAGAGCAGTAACTATCTCAGCCCTTCTCCAAGGCCAGGAAAGAGAAAGGACAAGGAACGGTGCACAGAGTGGGCAAGAGGCAGCTTGGTGTACAAGTACCAGCAGCTTTTGCTTTGCTCATCTGAACTAGCAATCAGGGAAGGAAAACRTTTTCCAGAGGCCAAATGGAGCTGTGGTAGAAGATCCCTGCCTCATTTTCTTGCTTTTCTGCTGGAAAGCTCACTTCCAGCAAAGGGGAACTCAACAAACAGTCCTCCTCCCCACAACCATCAAGAAAAATCATGGATTCTTAMAACTTAACTCCTGAAAAAAATGGAAGATGTTGCTTTTCCATACATATGAGGCCTGGAAGACCCATGAAATTAAGGACTGTGGAAAGGTCTGCTTTTAAAGGCCTCAAATCTTTACTCCACTTTTTGAGTGCCCACCCTCTCCAATCCGCTACCATACTGCTCCTTCCAAAAACATACAAAATCAGTGGGACCATGCACCAAAGAGCCGCCAGGTGAYCAGCCATTCTCTTCATTTTTCTTTTCATTTCATCAGACCCCCAGAAACTAATGAAGACAGGATGTGCTAATCTCTGTAGTAATGCTGTGATCGACARAGCAGCTCCGAGAATAGAGAAGGACAGATGTTCAGCAACACCCACCTTTGTAATTGGATTTTCAATGTCACAACATGATAGACATCTTGCAGCATGTCGGCTACTGTCGCATCTGGCGCATCAGTCACGTAACTGAGAGGGAGGGGATTCCACCTCCCAAGCTTGATTATTCCTGAAGAGAAAACAAACAAGAGAAAAGCACTTTATTTTTTATCAGCCGCTTTCTAAACCCTTTGATAAGTTTGTCTATACAGAACATTGAAGACCTGTCTTGAGACATGGCAATCTTGCTGGAAAGGATGTTTTCTGACAACTCTTGAAGCAAACCATGCAGAAGAGTTAAGAAGTGATTTAAAATTCYTAGCAGGGAATTGCTGACATGTTCCTGGTTGTTAAATTACCTTGAAGCAGCACAAGGTGCCTCCTCCCTCCACCCCTTTCCTCACGCCACTGACGCCAGGTTTTCTAAATTAAAACAAGCTTTAAATGCTCTGCAGTGCTGATTTTGCGACCTACGAAGCCTTTCAGTAAACAAATGCATTGTGTTTGACTTGAACAAGAAAATGTCCACGTGTGGGTCCCAGCACAGAGTTACAGCTGCAGCAAGGTATGAATCCCAGGGGGACTGGTACTGGAAACCCACRAAGCAGGTAGAGTTCACTCCCAGCTACAAGCTGTCCTAGGCAGCTGGCAAAGAACTGCAAGTTCATCCCAGATCCAAACAAATCCGGGCAGTGGGGGAGTGTTAAGGTCTACTTTTCACTTCTCCTTCCTTGCTGGAGTTCCTAACGTTTCCTGGATGGGCACAGAGCCCCAGCTTGGCTGCAGGCTGCCTGGGGCTGAGGTGCTACCGCTGTCGAGACCGTCCCGCTCCCAGCAGYGGTGACGGATGGTGAGGAGGGGCGTCCGGCACGACACGCAGCACGGGAAGCCTCGGAGCGCCAGCAAAGCCCTCGGCACTGCCCTCCCCACAGCCCTGGAGGCACCCAGGCCCTTTTCTCCACATCACCACTTCTCTCTAGACCTTAACCATATACTGGAATTAATGCAAACAGCTTTTATCCTCATCTCCCAAAGCGCATCATAAAGCAAGGCTGCTGCAACAGCAGTGCCTCGCACACGGGCATCGACAGGAGCGCAGGAAATACCTGCTCCAGAGCATGTTTTCCTCATTCCTACATGTGTTGAGGAGATRATTTTAGTACAACTCCTCTTCTGTAGGGCTCCAGTGTTTGTGTTTGCCATTRCCATATTGAACTACAAGGTACCCCCCACCACGTGCAGAGAGAASCTGGAAGAGACCTCGTTCATCTTCAGTAGCTGCTACAGATGGGCTAAGATTGCAAGAGCAGATTAGAAAGCTTCTGGCAAGGGGAGATCTTGTCCAAATGAAACAAAAAGTTACTAAGTGTTGCTTGATATCCAATGCTTGAAAATGGGACATAAACAGAACAAAAACATTTCAATGATGCACTGTTTCAGTATTAAGATTGAACAATCTGGTGCTGAATATGCTGCAGTATAAATAGTGCCTGGACTCCGATCCAGTAGAGTAACACACACGCTCATTCACAGCACCGTATGTCTCCAGAGCTGGCTCCTCGAGTCATATTCCACTTGCCAAGAAAAGCTGTTTTTCTTAAGGGGATAGTTTACTTAATGCTATCTCTGGTGACAACAAGAAATGCATATAGTACAGCATATATTAGTCATGAAATGAGCATCAAGGGTCCACTGAGTGAAATACACGCTGGGAAAACACAGTTTAGCTGCTGACTTCCTTCACTCCCTTCTGCTAAATAATAATTTAAAGCAAAACCACCTAAAAATCCAGAAATCCATTCCAGCTTCGCAGGACCCTTGCCTTCCTATGCCTGACCACACCAACTTTCCACATAATTGAAAAAAGTAAAGGTACATGTCCCATAAGTGGCATTTAGACTGGTAGTGTTTCACAGGAGGCTTTACCCCGCGCTCAGCAGAGGCGGCAGGCGGAGAGCAGGGGTCCCCCACCGCGGGGAAACCTGCCCCCAAACCAAGGCTGCCCTATTTAAGGCAAGGCTTGGGCTGCACTTGGGCAGGCGATGCCAGCCCCGCGAGCAAAGCCACGCTCAGCACTCTAGAAGACTGGTCTCTGAGTCACTCCTCAGCAAATCTTGAGTGATCCAAAATGTTCCCTTCTCTCAGGAAAGAAGGTCCTCTCCTCTCTTCTCCTCATCCAGCACTCGCCTGCAAAGTCACTTTGACCCAGCCGAGCTCTTGCTCTGTCACAGCCYGAGATTTTGGAGTGCCGAGGGCACCGCTGGGCATTAGGGCAGCTATCACTGCTCCAAGGATGCTGCTCCTCAGCACCGCASGGAGACACAGCCCAGCGGACGAGGCTCTCAGGAGGGCGGCACGCGCATCCCTCACCAATTCACAAACCTCCTCTGTCGACACGTCCAGTTCTCCTCCATTAATCAATGATCCGCTGGGACTTTTATTTTCTTGTTTGGAGGGGAGGTTCACCAGAGTCCAAACCTTGCACTGGCTGCAGAAACGCTCAGACGCTAGAATAGCTCTCAACAACTGAGCCGGGAAGGGCTGAACGCAGCCAGCGACTCCGTCAAAGACRATGAACACCAAATAGTTTTCTCAAAAGAAAGCCTTTCAAAACCTATTTTAAAAGGGATTCTCCATCCGCGCTGGCTGTTGGCTCTCAAATGCCATGGGATGTGAACTTCTGCACGGCTGGGGCTCAAGCAGACTTCTGGAATAACAGTAYTAAACACAAATATAAAGAAAGACAAAAAGCTGCTTTCCCCAGTAACACGGATAACCTGGAAGACCCTTTGCAATCTTACACAGCTCACACTGCTCACGGAGGAGATTTATGGGCTTGTCTTTCCAACCTGGAGCACAGTCACAGAGCAGGGTACGGGAGCTCAAAGAACTCCATAAAAACACCACACGTCACCATCGATGACATGTGTTGGCCATAAAGAGAACGAGGCCCAGCTCCTGCATCCCCCTTTCACACGCACAGTTATCCTTTTAACAACCCAAACCCCAGCAGAGCAAACGTAGCCTGCTAAGGCTCACGTGGGGGTGAGGTGTTAAAGCAGCTGCTGACTAGCATCAACAGCCCAACGCTTTTGATCCATTTCTTAGGGAAATAAAAACCTGCCTGTCCCGTATGAGGAGCGCAGAGAGTTAGTTCTCCATAAATCAGCGTGCAGGAGGTCGCTGCCCCGCGGCTTAATGCCTCAGCCTGCGTTTCTAACCTGTGGCCTCGCTGCAGTTCATCAAACTGGAACGACACCACGGCAGCRTTTGCAGCTATTATTATTAGGCCAGCAATGGGAAACACTTTTCAAGCAGAAAGGATGAAAAAGCAATAGGACGGYATTAATTCCAGCATTACATTATTGAGCTGCTTTTCCAAGCTCCCATGGCCATTTGTAAAATATTATATTGCCTTTGTGCCTTGTAGTAAGGGTGACTAGATTATTCTATCGGATTTCAATCAGTGGTATATTGGGGTAAGAATAGATGGAAAAAAATAATCAGCATAATCCTCCTTTGCACTTGCAAAGCGCCTTTGCTGGGAGGATCCCGAAGCCCTTTGCAAACATTAATTAATTAAGTGCCCCTGCGAGGGAGCCTCTATTATGCCAATTGACATATCGGTGATTTAGCGATGGGAAGAGCTAATCCGCGGGCGCCGCCGGTCCCGGGGCACCGTCTCCCTCCTCGCTGTGATAAATATCGCGGTGCGGGAGCGGGCGGCACCTGGGCGCTCGGCGCAAGGGGCACTGCGCTCCCGCCTGCCCTCCTAAACTTGATCTTGCTCCCATGAAAACGGCCCTGAGAGGCGGAGCGGGGCTGCAGGCTGTCCCCGTCGGAGCGCTCGCGTTCCCGCTGCTTCTGCTCCCGCAGGATTGTGCCGGGCTGGGGAAGGCGCGCGCACCGGGCGGTCTGCTCCCCGCGCTGCCCGGCATCGGGTTTCCATCTCAGCCCACGGAGCGCGGCCCTCGTGTAATAGATGCTGCTTCGCATTTGGGAAACGTTACGTGAGGACCCTGGAGATTTTATTAGATTAATTTAATATAAGCACTAAGTTGGTGGACTAAATTAATAAAGATCTTCTTAAAGAAAAAAAAAGGGGGGGGAGAGAAAGAACAGAATGAACCCATAAATTAAATAAAATTTTCTAAAGCTTGTTATTTTGGAGGCATTTATTTCATCAACCCCCTACTCTGAAAAATAGCCAGTAATTGGCAGGGGATACCCTTAGTATAAAGGCTAGCAAAATCCATTTCGTTATGATTTTGGGCCTGACTTTTGCCTTTTCTCCCACCAAACGCTCAGTTCTTAACTTACCTGGGAAATAAATAAAATATAAATTAAAACACAAAATAAAATGAGAGAGAGGAAAAAAAAAAAAAAAGGAAGAACTATTAAAGTAGCGGAGTGGAAAGGCATAAATAAATGAGGAGAGGAGAAGATTTCTGCTGCACTGCTGATGCCGGCTCGCGCTGCTTCCCCACGAGCGCAGGACACGAAACGGCAGCTGCTGCCACCTCTGCAATCTCGCTCTCTGCTTCTCTGCGGCTCTATTACTGGTGCAGACTGAATATCCCGACCTGCACAAGGTCRAACACCGCCGGCTTAACTCGGCTGGCATCTTTAATGCCCATCAGCTAAGAACTAGATCCACCACAAAACACTTAAGCCTTGCATTCCAGCATTCTTACACTACAAAAAAAAAAAAATCAATGGAAAGCAAGGCTACTTATTTTTGTATCTATATATATATATTTATAGTTATATTCATTCATATACATACATCTATATATGAGAATACCCAATACAGCAATGATCGAGGCTCTGTCAGTCTCCAGAGCCTTCCCTGTAAGTCCCTCGGGAGCAAACATCAAGGGACAAACCCTACCCATCCTTTACACATTAACTTACTAGGGAGACAGAGAATGGTATTTTAAGGTTGCTGTATTTCTTCACAAAATACATTTAAACAATCCTACTGCCAGAAATTCAGTGTTCCTGTAAATTCAGGCACTTGACACTATATTGAGGACATTTTTTTCCCCATCACAGAACCCCGCTTCAATCAATAACCCGATTCGCAGGTTCCTTATCTCCCTCTCTTTCTTCCAAGGAAGAGCACAACGC